ATAAAGAATTGCTTAGCAATTGCTCGAAACAAGACTGATAACGTCCATATTATTCGAAATCGAAATGCACACTAAACAGTCTTGTACATATTATCATTTCTCTAAGAAACTTATATGCCTCAGTTGCTTGACCTTCTCACAAAGTCAGTAGCATGAAAACAACACGCAAATAGAGAGCTTATGCACATTCAGTTGTGAAAAATTTAGAAAAAGCAAGGGTGCCTAATAATTTTGTTAATGGCTGTATATACCAGGGTTGGTAAAGACTAATGTTTTTTTTTAAGAATAAAACATATTATGTTTCTTCTTGAATATGTTTTTAATGCTTCAAATATGCTTTGAACAGTACTATAAAAAAAACATATTTAAAACATATACATACGTTTATATATCACATGTATCATTGAGTTCCTCAATGAGAAGGATTTAAAAAGATACAATAAACATCATATAATATATACTCGTCATTTTAAGACTAATTGTAAAATTAACATTTAATTACTCAAGAGTTAAGAGCCATGAATTTATTGTATTTATATCGATAATACAGTGACAAGTAAAACTTCGTGTGAACGCTATACAATAATTTGTTGAAAAATTCTCATTGTCATAAGACATGTGTATCTGATCCTTACTAACTAATAATTAAAATATTCAATCAATATATATATATAAACATAATATAACGGAACGGAACAAACTATAAAAATACGATGTTTCGACCTAAGCACGAGGTCATCTTCAAAGTAAGAATAAACCAAATTTATACCACAGATGTGTTAAAGTAAAAATTCTGGTACGTGCATATCCAAACCGTCCAGACTAACTGCGAACCATATAAACTTCCGACAATAGCTACACGGATAGCACTCCATTGCGAGCATCAGATATTCGTGTCTATGGCCTCAAGTTGTCATTCGCATTACATTTCAAATTGTGATCTATACATAACGTTACAAAACTAGTCATAATAATTTGTTTGTGTGTACAATAATTTTAAAATAAATTAACGTAACGAAGCTATGTTAGTATGTACAATAATTTTTAAAAAAGGAACGAAATGGCTCTAAACCCGCGGTTATTCGATACAATCTGAAACGTGAAATCTCCAATATCATAATTTAAATTTCTCGGCAAACGCGCATTCAATAAATTTCAAAATTTAACAATAAAATAAATTATAATTTTAGTCAATAAATATCATACCTCCATTCAAATGTACACGATAAATTTCACATCATAACGCCACTTATGTCAAACAAATCAAACGCGAGTCGAGCTCCTTTGCTTCTATCGGAATCATTCCAGATAAATGTTAACTGTCGCAAGAACATTCTAGAAACAGTCATAAGAGACTAGGAAGGGGGCACGATATGAGTGGGAGAATGACGTATAATGCCGGGTGGGAGACATTAGAGCGACTAGAAGGAGGGTAAGCGATCAAGAATGGGCAGATAGACATCAGGAAATGAAATTGTATCATTCTGCATATTCAATCTGTTAAGCTGTTTCTTAATAGGTATCATATTCATTTCATATCCGCCATTTTTTTATTCAAAAAAATTACAGATTTATTATTTTCGATGTGCAATACATACGCAAACACATAATAACATTTTTGCGTAAATATTTGCACGATTTGTTACGAATTCATTCGCTATCGTATTTTTTGCTCATTTTATTGGATCGGCCATT